GCATTCCTTGCTTGCCTGCTTCCTTGCTTGATTGCTTGCTCCCTTCCGCGCTTGCCTGATTGCGTGCTTTCTTGCTTGTTTGCTTTGCTTCCTTCCTTGCGCGAGTGCTTGCTTGCTTCCTTGCTTGCTTGCCTGCTTGATTGCTTACTTTCTGGATTGCTTGCCTGCAAGTTTGCTTGCTTGCCTGCTGGCTTGCTTCCTTCCTTGCTTGCTTGCCTGCTTGTTTGACTTGTTTGCTTGCTTGGTCGCTGGTATTGTATTTTGGCCTACTCAATTATTTACTGATCTGTTGTAGCTTGTGTGTTGGTCGTTCTTTACTCTTTCCAGAAGTCGAAACGAAATCACGAGCAAGATCATCATGGCAATAAAGGAACAGTGCAATGGGCAGGCTCCTTTTCCTTGAGAGTTGCTTGCTTCCAAGCAATCATGACAACACTTGGGCTGAAACAGCCTGGGGATGAAAAACTCTAAGGCTGTGCCAGCCTACGACTGTTGCGGGGTTGATGGCAATGCGCATGAGGGCCTAGCGCTTCACGTCAAGAGCATCCCGTCTCGCAACGTCAAACATGCTCTCAAGCTCTCAACGCTTTGCCAACGGACTTGGAGCATCGCTGCGGCGAAACACTCGCAGTCTGCTTCCAGGCCGGGGCTCATATGGCTTAGCCAGTTCCAGATTGCTCCTAGATCTCCTCGCTTGTAGCACCTGGGGCTGATATGCGCTGTTCGCAGGAAAAACAAGGCTAAACACAACGTTTGCCTGGCCGGCGAAACATAAGAACTCTAGGATGATCCAGTACCCCGATCAGGACAGGGAAATAATTTGCAGCCTGCTTGCACCCCCTTTTTAACAAGTGATAAAGCAATGGATGTGAAAATAATTTGAGCGTTGGGCTTTAATCACTTTAAAATGTGGCTTTTGCAAGCTTGCCACATCCCCTCTCTCTTCCGCAGCCTCCATTTTACAAACTTGGCTTCCGCGAGCAACGTGCAAGGAAACCTGAAAGTCCGGAAGTTAAAGCAACACCTGCTTTACTTATGCAGCTAATGGCAATCTGTCGAATTGCTCACAGGGCTTGCTCTACGGCCAGTGCCTTCAAAAAGGGGGACTCTGAGCTTCCGCGAGCCTTCCCGCGATGCAAACGTGAATACGTCCGTTTCGTCCCCTCAAGTATAAGGAAACCGCTCAAGTATAACTTACTCAAGTACGTGCCGGGCAACATGTTTGTGTGTCTCCAGGTGAAGCTGACTTGTATGTCACTGCGTCTTGGCTGAATTGCGCCTGCTGAGATGAGGGTTGTCTTCGCCCCTTTTGGTGAAGCTGAGTTGCAGCTCGTCTTCGCGTATTCAAGATTTCCAGCCTTCTTGCAACATGCAAAAGTCTGTGTGGAAGGTCAAAACAGCTGACAGCATTGTGAATGTGAAGCAGCGGGGCTTCAGCGAACCTTGTGCGAACTGCCCCTTGCTGCGACGCCTTCCGCACGCTTCCGTGCGTGGTGCAGCGCGTAATCATTTCCCTGTCGATTTGGAGCCGTGGCCAAAGTGCAAGGCTGAGCTGGAGCTATAGCTGGTGCGACTCTGCAAACTCTTCAAAGTCTCCAAAGCCCTGCCAAAGACCCGCAAAACCCGCAAAATCCTCGCTCCGAAAATCAAACTCCCTAAAAACCTTGAAAACTCAAATTCTCTAGAAATCTGCTGATGAACCACATGAGCAGCTTGCCGCATCTTTCCTGGAGAGTCCATTCCCTTCACGGGCCGCTGTTTGACTCTTTGAACATCTCCAAAGGCCAGAATGAAGTGGATCCCCCATGCGGAAATCTAAGGTGTGTCAGGAGCAATTATTTACATCGGATGTGCGTCAAATAGTCACGCCCCGCCTGCTGCAACCACTCCTCAAGGCTCTTCAGCTCTTCGGTGGGCCTGGCGAAGGACCCAGTTTCTTCTCGCCAAGAAATGGGATCGCCCTCCCGCGCTTCGCCAGTTTTCCTGCCAGCAAATGTCACGCCCCGGCTGATCATACGTGGGCTGCGTAACACACGGACGCGAAACCAGACAAGAAAACAAGCGCAAACTGAAGTCTCCGCTCTTTGGGGAATAGCGTAGTCTGAAAACCATGAATCGACCTCTGACAACTGTCACGCGCGACGGGTTCTCAATCCTGAAGCATCAATGTGTCCGCGTGAAGCGTGACTCACCAAGCCAGGAATCTTATCACTTGGCTCCCCAGCAGCGTGGTCAACTCTTGCTGGAGGCGTTGTCTCCGATCGCCCTGAGATGGAAGATGGACTGGAATTTCAGGCTGGCTTGGTAGCAAACAGTGATAAGCAGCAGTGAATCGGTACCCCGTGAGGATGGCTTTAGCTGCGTTGAGTATCTAAAAGGAGGAGCCCCGTGGCGGCAACAACAATTCACCATCAACTGCAAAACATGTCAAAACCATCTGCCAAGCACCAACCTCACAATGAGGTCTCAGCCAAGGCCTCTAATTTCAGGGCCTCAGGCCCGGGACCTTAAAAATCTAGTGGTCTCAGAAAACTAGACAGTGTTGGCAGTGGCATGTCCATGGAGGACGTGTTTCTCTTTGCGCGCAGCTCTGTCTCCAAACGTCCGGCTTCAGCGATCCAAATATTGTAGAAATTTGTGATCGGGCAGCCCCAACATGGAAAACTGGACATGGAAGTTAACCCTAGGGACCACACCTTGAATTGCAAACAATCAAGCTATACAGTTGTTTCAAACTTGCACGATGTTCAACGTTCAAGCATCACATTGCAATGATTTGCGGCTTAAAGCATTGTAGCGCGTCTTAACATGTTCTAGCGCATTTGAACCCGGGGCCTCAATGTATAGGCCTCGTGGCGGTGCTTTTTTAGCGCATTTTGACCCGTTTTGACTCAGCGCTTTGGCCCTCGCTGCAGTTTCCCAAGGCTATTATTGGTACGGGAATTTCGTCATGTCTTTTTGCGTGTCTGGCATCCACCGGTGTTGCCGTGGGAAACTTGTCTGGAAAGTGGTTTAACGTCAGGCATGTCCGTCTTCATCCGGAAAAGTACAAACTCTGGTTTGCCAATCGTGTTGTTTCTTGATGATTTGTTGCCGGTGCAGCGCGGTATTCACAGGCCTCCGTGTTCAGGCTTGGGGGTACCGTACTTATTTTAAGGTCTTATCCAGAGGTGCCTCCCAGTGCAGGTCTCGAACAGAAAGCCTCCACATATGAGGTCTCAGGGCTCCTAGGGCATGCTGCACCAGTGTGGCTAAAAACTCAACCCATGTACGCTTAAGACTCCCAGACCAACCAGACAAGTCAAAGCAAGGCGCTTGTCTCAACCAGAACAGCCTAACCCTGTATGAGAAGCTCAAGGCACCCGCGGCCTAACGTGCGTGCGTGCCTACGTGCGTGCCTGCGTGATGCGAGATGCGAGATACGACTCGTGGACTCGGGGTGTCATGATTCCGTGATTCGTGGGTGGTGATGGGTGGCTGGTGTTCGTGGCTCGCGCTCGTTCTTCGCGAGCAAGTGTGCGTGCGCGTGTGCGAGTGCGCGTGCGTGCGCGAGCGCGTGTGCGTGCGCGTGTGTGTGTGTGTGTGTGTGGTGGCTGTGTGTGTGTGTGTCAGTGTTTGTGTCAGTGTTTGATGGTGTGGTTGCTTTTGTTGGTTTGTTGCTTGTTTGTGCATCTGCGTGTCTGTCTGCCTGCCAGTCTGGCAGTTTGTCTCCGTCTGTCCGTCTGTCTGCGCCTGCCTCTGTCGATCTGTCTCTGGGTCTGTCTGTCTCTGTCTGTCTGTCTCTACTGTCCGTCTATCTCCGTCTGTCTCTGTCTGTGTCTGTCTCTGTCTTTGTCTGTTTGTCTTTCTGCGCGCGCGCACGCGCGCGTCGCACGCGCGCGTGCGCCGATGTGAGTGTGCGCGCGCACGCACACGCCTGTGTCACTGTGCGTGCGTGCGTGCGTGCGTGCGTGCGTGCGTGCGTGCGTGCGTGCGTGCGTGTGTGCGTGGGTGGTGGTGGGTGGGTGGGTGGGTGTGTGTGTGTGTGTGTGTGTGTGTGTGTGTGTGTGTGTGTGTTGTGTGTGTGTGTGTGTGTGTGTGTTGTGGTTGGTTGGTGTGTGTGTGTGTGTGTGTGTGTGTGTGTGTGTGTGTGTGTGTGTGGTGTGTGTGTGTGTGTGTTGTGTGTGTGTGTGTGTGTGTGTGTGTGTGTGTGTGTGTGTGTGTGTGTGTGTGTGTGTGTGTGTGTGTGTGTGCGTGCGTGCGTGTGTGCGTGTGTGTGTGTGTGTGCGTGTGTGCGTGTGTGCGTGTGTGCGTGTGTGCGTGTGTGCGTGTGTGCGTGTGCGTGTGCGTGTGTGTGTGTGTGCGTGGGCGTGGGCGTGCGCGTGCGCGTGAGTGTGCGTGTGCGTGCGCGTGCGCCTGTGCGTGTGCGTGTGCGTGCGCGTGTGCGTGCGTGTGTGTGCGTGTGTGGGGGTGTGGGTGTGGGTGTGGGGGTGGGTGGGTGTGGGTGTGTGAGTGTGTGTGTGCGTCTGAGCGAGTGGGTAGGCAGTGGGAGGGCGGGTGGGCAGCGCGGGTGGGTGGGTTGGTGGCACGTGTGCGCTTCAGCAAGAGAATCCCACAACTGCCTAGTCAAAGGAGAACCCATGCAAAGTCGCCAAACCACAGCATATCCATGATTGTCGATCAGTGCTTCAGAATCAACGAACAGAACGGTCAAACCCCCACATGAATCTGCAAAGCAAAAAAACACGTGTTCAAATAGCGCAAGAATTCCCGTAAGACCACCCATTGCAGGTGGAAGGCCATGCCGCCCAACCGGCCCTGGCCCTATGGCTCAGGAAGGCTAGCAACTGTTGCATGTCAACCCCGCTGCACGACTGACTTGGAATCTTGGGATGTACGGATGCTTTGGACTGCTCCAAACAAAAAGCACCATTGCTATGCTCACGGCCACCCGGGAAGATGAGCGCCTGTTTCCTGGTCCGTGGCAAAACGATTCAGGGATGTCAAGAAGTCTGTGCTGCAAAGGAGGGCTCAATTTGATCTCTGTGTCGGGGCATGTGTTCCTATTTCCTGTCTGCAAGCCAGGATTGCGCCGAGCGGGAACATGGCTTCAGGAGCAAAAAGGCGAAGACGGCCTGGACGCCGCCGCAACTGGAACTGAAAAGTCGGGCCCATTCTCGGCGGTCTGCTCCCGTCAGAATCACCGTTAAAATCAGTGCGATGCGTGTTGAGTGGGCGTGTTCGGTCTCTCGCTCTGTCTCTCTCTCTCTCTCTGATAAAGTGGGCAACGGGCATCACTGGTCTGCTTCCTGCAGCTCGACCGTCGTATAGCTTGTACTTATCCTCGTCGATGTCAGCTGAACATCTCCGCAACCAAGCACGTCCGTATTACACACATTTATGTGTGTTGTATGTGTGTACATACGCGAGCAAGCTGGAAAAGCGGCTTCTGTTAAAAGAACCAACTATGGTCGACCTAGTTGGTTTTGCAATGACAAACACAAGTGGTACACACACATGTAAAATAAATATAGATATATGCACATATACTAATACACGCAACGGTACGCATGTGTGTACAAATGCTACGGGCATGAAGTGTATGATACATTAGGCCTACACAGAAACATATGTTGTTTAATGTTCTGTTTTGGGCCTTTCACGCGCCTTGTCCGCCCGCTCTTCTAGCTCCTCGGGGCTAAAGCCTTCCACCACGAAGCTGGCCTCAGAGGTCGGCCGCGCGAAGGATTCACTTAGAGCCTCAAACAAATTCACTGGAGCTTACAAGCACGCGTTGGTCAACATGAGCTGGGTCACTTTGCATTCCGGGAAACATGACGCAGCGCTTTCAGCACCAGTCAAACAGCGCCCCACTAGCTTTTATCATGTTTCAGAGTGTACCGCTTTGAGGTTCGACCCTTTTGTTTCAAGACAAACTTGGGTTTCGGTCCCTTGGCCGGACTATCAGCCGTTGTGATATTGCAACCACCAATCCAAGGACCAAGTCTGTCAAAAGGACCAGTGTGGGATTCCCATTAACTTCAAGATCTGAGATTTTGGGCACCTCGGCGACCGTGGCCCGGGCTCGAAGCATTTCCACCAACTCCCTGCGCTCAATGAGGCCACTACCATCCTGCTTGGCTCAATGCGACTTCGTGTCTGGCGCCCGAACTTCACGCTTTGCGCAACCAGCCACTTCAGACTGTAACTGGGTTGGAGACACCATGTCAAGTTCAGAGAATGGAGCAAAAGCACCAGCAGGGTCATAGCAATCAGACCTTGAAATGCACCAACAGCCTTGGTGACTGAGCTCCCAGAACAAAGTCTTTGGGCCTCGTCAAACATCATGAAGGCAAACTTCAGCTTCTCCGTTTTTGCTGCCTCAGCATATATCAAGCCCATGCTGGCACATGTTCAAGCTCTGCGCACCTCTCCCGCGAGGTCTGAGCAGCGCTCAAAACCGTTCGAAAACTGCAGCGATCCTTCGTAGAGCTTTCGCGCGCATGTGTGTTTTCCTTTCACGGCGGCTTGTCTTGCATCGGCCCTTTCGCGGCACTTTCGTGCGCAAGAACAATACACCAAGTAAACTTGGTAGCTCCACCTTGAAGATCATAACTTTTCGGAACAAGCTTTCCGTCTCAAAAACCGCAACTTTCCAGCACAAGAATAGTGTGCAACATCCTGGTCCCATGGCGATTACTTGCGGTTGGCCTGAAACGGTTGGCCTTGATTGCGACTAGATTTCAGCAAGAATACGTAAAACGATGGATGAAGGCCTCATTTGCTCTTACTTTTCAAGGCAGCTTCCAGACGGCCTATGTTGTGTCTCCTATGTTGCGTCTCCAAACCGGCGGCAAATGGGCAAAAGCGCCAGTCCGGCCGGCGGCAAATTTGGACGCGCAAGCCAACCTGCAGATCGTGGTGCTTGGAGGGAATGTGTGTGGGTGACGCCTTGTGATTTGCTCATGTTTGTGCCGTGAGGCCAACGCCTCGCTGCCTGTTGGGCCGGCCAACTTTGCAAACCTGTTTGGCCTGTGAATGGGATGGCTGTTCTTGTTTCGAGCATTCTTCGCTTGTCAGCTCCGATCACCATGTTCGAGTCAGATAGAAAGGCGAGCCGTTGCTTGTCTAGCGCCTGTGCCCCATTTGTCGGTCAATGGTTGCTGTAAGACGGCGGTGATCGATGACTGACTACCTACGCCATTCCTTCCTCAGGCGCAGCGCCTGCAAGCCTCTTAGGGTTGATTATGTCGGGAAAACCTGGCTCTGAATCCTTGGCCAGCGCTATGCCCATTGCGATCACGCGCTTGTGTCTGTGGAGCCTGCAAACGCCTAAGCAAACGGAGAGACGTCACAGTTGCATCGCTACACTTGGTTTGCGGACATGCGTCAGTCTTTGCGAGCGCCTCAGAAGCGCGTAGAGTTTGTGCAACGAACTAGAACCAGCGCAACAGCTTCGGGTTGGAAAAACCATATTTGCTTATGCTTTTTGCGATTCGGCATACACTTTTGCGAGCAGTTGAACGGTTGCTCTTCATCGTCACATTGTGACAAGTGCAAAAGGTGTGTGTGTGTGTGCGTGTGTTTGCTTGTGCGCTCACGCAAATTCGTGGTGTCAGCGCACAAGTAGTAAACCCCCGACTAAATGTTTCCTCTTTTGCCTCCCAGATTCTGACACATGGGTATGGGTCAAAATCAAACCGCCAGGGGACTGCAAATTTTGGTCCCTGTTTTCATTCACCAGGGCCCCATTTTGGGTACCTATTTTTGATCCGCGCCTGCATGCTCCTACCACTTCATTTTTGGGTCTCCCCCGACCCTCCCGATTGAAGCACCCAAGCCAACAAGCCTGCCAGGCAAGGGGCTTTTTAATTTGCGCCTAAGCCCACCAACCTGCTTTTACCCCGTTTCCACGCTTGGTCCTGGTTGAGGGAGGCCCATGAGCAGCCACTGGTTGCGCCTGGACCTGCCTGGATCTGCGAAGCAAAGCGCGTGCTTCGAGCAAATTCGTCATCTAGTAAGCGCATCCCTGGCAGCTGACCTACTTGCGCGTCTGCGAGTGGGGCTTCGCCAAGACAATCTGCAGCACAGCAGGTGTCCAGTCAAGGCTCGCTCAGCAGGCAGCCGGCGCTGAGTGCGCACCGTTTTTCCCCAGGATCATCCTTGCTCACAGGTTTGTGGCCATCTGCGCCCGCGTGCGTTCAAGGGATGGGGCTATGTCATGGACGGGAAACGGAAGGGATGACAAGAACACGTAGGACTTTTTGGTGTACGTTTAGGGGCCGTAGCTTTCAGCGTTCTTTGCACTCACTCGCTCTCCCTCACTCACTCACTCACTCACTCACTCACTCACTCACTCCCTCGCTCGCTCGCTCGCTCAGTCCCTCCCTCACTCAGTCCCTCCCACTCCCTCGCTCACTCGTTCACTCACTCTCACTCACTCACTCCCTCCCTCCCTCCCTCCCTCTTTCCCTCCCTCCACTCTCACTCCTTCCACTCTCACTCCTTCCCTCCCTCCCTCCCTCCCTCCCACTCACTTCCTCCCTCACTCCCTCACTCCCTCACTCCCTCACTCCCTCCCTCCCTCCCTCACTCCCTCACTCCCTGCCTCACTCCCTCACTCACTCCCTCCCTCATCCGCGCAAGCAGAGATGACTCTCGCCGCTTGCGGTCTTCATACCCCCAGAGCACTAAAGCCATCCACTCCCACTTTTTTGGGGTCATCCGCACCTACACGCATGCAAAATTCCGCAGGTAAGGACCCCCTTCTACCTCCTGATTGCTTGCTTGCTTGCGCGATTGTGTCTCTGATTGGAATTGAAAGCTGCCCCACAGCAGGGGTGTTTAAAGAAGTGTGGTGCAACTGCAATGAACGTTAGCATCCCCGACCGCCCCCCTGCCCCACCTCCGGGGGCTTGCGCAAAACACCATTGCAGGCGCCAAAAATGGCACGTGGACATGAACATCCAATTGTTTTAGGCACTCAGTTAGCGGCGTTTGCGTACAATCAGGGGGCAAAAACAAAACACTGTTGCCATTTGAAGCCCTATCGCCCAAAAGGGGCCAAGAAGGCAAGGAACAAAGTCCAGGTTCCTGTTTCCATTTCAATTGGCTGGGAATGGGCGCCGAGGACCGAAAAGGCTCCAGATTCATCAGGGGGGCACTAAATCTCAGTTTTGGCTTGTTCAATCATGCCCACACCTTGTCGACCCGACCTTGAAAGCGGGGAGGGTTCACTGATCTGGGTAACCACTAGGACGGGGACCAGTCTCTGACCTGAGCCCTCTACAGATCATCTAAAATCTGTGGCTGCTGATCTTTAAAGCAAGTGGCGCAAGTTAAAAGCGCTCAATATCTGGTGAGTACATCTACCAAGATGGTCAAGCTTTGTGAAGGTTTGCATCACAAGCCCTAAACAACCAGAGATCGGCAACCCTTGCTACGCAGATCGACACAGAATTGGACCACCTGATCTTGTCCTGACACTATGACAGAATGGTCTCTTCCCAGGTACTGTCACGTCAACCCCGAGCCCAAATGCATGCTGACCGAACACGAGAGGACACTGAAACGTCAAAACAGGAGGACCCCAAAACTGGTTCGCTTCCTGCTGGTGTCCCTTTGCAAACCACGCAAACCGCTGACGTGTGTCGCTGGGTTGCCGCAGTGTATCGCGAGAGCACCACAATAAACTCCTTCAGCTCAATGCTGCCAGAGCCGTCCTCAGCTGGAAAGGAAGCTCCCAGCGGCCAATGAATCATATGTGGCAGCCTGCTTTTGGGCCAAAGGGAGCAACACTGCAAAGTCATGACATGTCAAGCAACACTGCAAAGTGCCCTGATAAAGAAAGAGACGTCCCATATTTTTGAAATGCTCAACTAGAAGAGTCCTTTCAAGTGCGCCAAGTTGATGTGAACACGACCCTAGGCGGTTGCTCCTGCAGAACCAGAAATGCAAACTATTTGTCGAAGTCGGCGAGGCTTTCTCACTGGATGCAACTTCGCACATAATGAACAGCCTGTTCAAAACACACAAACACGGCGGAACAAACAAAATTGGTGCTATGCAATATGTAAGGAATCCGATTATGCCATGGGCGGAGATTGCGTTATGTTTTCACCCGTTCGCGTCCTGACTCTGAAAGGCTCCTCCTTCTACAATGTTGTTTCCTCTCTGATAGGCAACTTGTTTCCTCTGAGTGTTCAAGCTCTTGCATCTGCGGATGATGCTGCCAGTAATCCAGATATGCCAACTGAGACTGTTTCCATTCTCGCATTAGCCTCATCATTTCTGCTGTGGCTTCCTAGAGACAAATTGGCTTGACCTGACAGTTGTTCGAGGATAGAGTTTGGAGCTCATGCTTTCACACGTGTGTCTGCGATCTATTTGAAACGGATATCAGATATGGTATTACTGTTCAAAACTGACAATTGCCCAATGTGATTTGAGGTGAGTAGAAAACAATGTGTGCGTGTGCGAGCCTGGCTGCCCTTGCATGGCACTTGTCATGTCCATTCTCCGTCCTCCCCTAGTGCGGCCACAAAGCCATATCAAAGACTCTGAACATTTGCCTCGCAGCGCGAGCAAGGATCAAACGAGTGATAATGAGCTTCTCACTCTCTTGTGGCCTGCAACTGCCATCTATTTTTAGCAGACACCCATCTCAATGTTTGGCGACCCAGCTTCACTCGATAACAAAGAAGACACTCCTACGAGGGCCGGTATCAAAGAATCAGCTCATTCTGCTGAAGCATGAATCAATGTCTTTCATTCCTTCACCCTCAAATGTCGCAAAGTAACATCACCATTTGCCGCCTGGCAATGTTGGTGTCCTCCATATCCATGGCCTGGCTTGGTCAGACCCACCCTGCCAGGATTCACAGATTGTTGCACCTTCGTTTGGCCCTCCAAACCGCGGTGACAAAGGGCGCATAATAATTACGCAAAATATTGCATGTGAATCAAACGATGCATTGCGTGGATACGCTGTCTGATCACACCTCCGATCAATGCAACACTGCCGACATTGAAGGAAGAAAACAAATCATAACATAAAGTCCGGGAAACATAAAGTCCTGGCTTGTTCGCTTCACTGACAGGAACACATACACGACTCACCTGGATGAACTCCTCGTAATCGATGGCTCCACTCTTGTCGACATCGATGTCCTGCCGGCTTCACAACCGGCAGTCCATGGTGACTTTTGTCATATATGGCATATCGACCCGTACTGCCTGCGGAGACCAGCTGGTTGTTCGAACTCAGGTCAATTTTGCGGAGGTCCTCTTCAAAGCCATGAGTGCTGTGAGAAGTAATTGTAGATTTAGGGCATCGTTTGACGGTTCTGGGCACTTTTTCCGGCAACCAATGAATTTCGTGTAAGCTGTTGCAAACAGCTGCTTCCAACTGAGTTGTTAAAGGCCTGGACGTGGTGGTGTGTTTCTCATTTGTCGTTTCGAGTGGGCCTTGAGCTCTTTTGAAGCATGCCGATTGAATGATTGCCCTTTGTGGCAGCAAAGGCAAAGGAAAGGCGGTCCCCGAAGCGCTTGTAGATCTTCTTGATCCTGGGTCGCCCACTTTTGACATGCGGAAATGTCCATGGTGCCAAGGATACTATACGTAGAGACAAACGCCGTATCTTGGTTATGGATTGTCCCACGAGGGTATCGCCACCTTGGACCCAGGTGTAGTACGTGCCTCACACAAGCTTTGCAAGGATTGGCTAAGGACATCATTCCCTACGTGGACGTCATTCAGCTACACCCCGGCCACTTGCCGCAAGGTTCTGGAAAGGTGCGCTGCAAAATAACGACCGTTTTCAATCGCATGCTGTTGAATGACGCACCCTGGAAGAATGACGCACCCCAGGAACGGCATAGGATTCCCCATGTCATTTTCATTCAAAACGTAAGATGCTCGCTTTCCCCATTTGCGCTTATTTCCGCCGTTCTGATGCCATTGGCCCTATCACCAAGTCGCTGTGATGGCTTGATCTTGCCCATGCCACCCGAGAGCTTGTGGATCAAGGCCTCAACCTGACACCGAACGAGTCGTTCCCGGTCTCCCGAAGGCTATAAACTCGAAGCATGGGAGGAACCCAAGTGACCGGCTATAAACTTATAGCAGCGGAAACAGGGCAAATTAAGGCTTCCATTCTGAACGTTCCTTGCCGAAGAACTGGTGGAACCCTGTACTCCCATCCTGCCAGCCGCTTTCAGCCATCAAACCCTATACTTTCCATGCGAACACGAATCGGCCACCGAGCAGCGACTGCATGTTTGGAAGGGCCCCAGTTCACCATTTCCTCCACGTGGAGGCGATCCGCTCAAGCAACATCTTTGCATGCCAACCTCCCGGCATGGTGCGTGAGATTGTGGAACCCAAGTCACGCCAAGTGCGATGGCCGCACTCCCAAACTATTGCCACATACCACATACGGTGTCCTCTTCGCTGCAATGCTATTGATTACGCAGGCATTTCTACTATAGCCAACGCAACGGGCAGTCCCATGGCACCGTCATTCACAACAGAATTGACACCCCGGGCTGTTTCCTTGTTCCAGGTGGCCCGGCTGTCATGGAGCGCTGGTGCCGGTCCTTGGCCTGAGCAAAGCTTCACAGCCTCACCCTTCACCGCTTCACCGCTTCACCGCTTCACCGGGGAGGTCTTTTGATTGAAACAGCCCCAGCCGACCGAAAGTGCCCAAATGATACCGGCATCAAAACTCGGGTTCGTTTCCAATGGGCAAAGGGCCACACTGTGTGCCACACCGCACCTAACTCATGTAACTCGTGTAAGTGATTTTTCGGCACCGGGACTCTGGCGCTGGCGGCGGCCGCCGCCTGCTGGGCACGCCAGTCGCCCTTGTGCTGACTGAGGTCCTCCTTGGCCCTGCGGCAGTTGGTGTGGAAAACTGGGACTTGGAGTCTTGGAGTCTTGGAGTCTTGGAGCGCTGGTGTTTGCGTGTGCTTCATCCGAAACAAATGGGACGTTTTTTGATACGCCACTGCTTGGGAGCACCAAACACTGTCGGACACTGTAGCAAACCAACGAGGGTCGATCCTGTTCAAAGCACAGCGCCTGTCTGAACGGAAGGCATGAAATGGGTCAGTGTGCAGGAGCCAAGCTACCAATTGCTTCTGGGTTGATTCGGCCCACTTGCTCAAATTATGGTGTCTAAATTCATTTTGCCCAAGTGCAATGAACTTTAGTAGTGTTGACCGTCACTTTGATGATCAAGGACTTCAAGCTTGCTGAGCTTCGCGCTTCTGCGCGAAGGTTGGGCCTGAGCAATCAACACGCTGCCGAAGACTATATTGGCGCCCATGGTGACCGCCTGTCTTCCGCGCATGGACCAGAAGCGGCCCGGGTGGGCAAGGATCATATTTCTCTTTTCGAAGGGCCAACAAATATCTGGAGGCGAGGTGCATATACATGTACGTGTTTCATATTCGGGAGTGGCGAATATGTTGAGAACAAGGTATGAGCACATTCCAATCCGAATGCCAAATGCAACTAGGGGACGCCAGTGTGGACTGGTAACGAACCCAGAATCTGCAGGTCTTGACCACTTCCTAAGATGCAGGCCTGTCTCGGTAAGTTGCTTTGCATACCTGGCGCGCCAACTGGCCTGCATGTCGCTCTAAATCCAAACGTGGCTTGCGGAAACCGGTATTTTCATGGTTTTCATCCTCAGCATGGCAACATCTGGATGGGAACGCTCTGCCCACGCAGCGTTTGGGCAGCCCTTGCCTCTTGGCCCCTCCCAATTGGTCTGAGTAGGGCTTCTTCTTGTTGGACATGACCGGCGGAGGCCTCGAAGCATTTAAACGCTAAATTCAGATTACGGCCGGTGTTGGCCATTATGGCCTTTTTTTAAAAATGCGGCAAAACGCTGAAGCACCAGGAAACTGTAAACACGCGGGAGGGCGGAATTGTTCGGCGTATGTTTGCAACATCTTCCCCATGAATTTTGACACGGCTTAAACTGCGATGTGTATGCAAATTCTGAGATATCATTACGAAGTTGCAGTAGGCCCCGTCTGAGACTCAACAAAGAACACCAACATTTTGCCCAACACCCAAGAAACATGGGAACATGCTGAGCTTTTCAGATTGAGCCGCTGGTAAAAGGAATCAAACACTTTTAAGCGCTGTTAAGCTGAAGGGGGAACTTTGAAACGCTTTTTCAGCTGGACCCAAGATTCTCAAAACTCTTGGCACAATCGTGTTCGCGCGTGAATGGAGGATTTCCAAAGCAATGTTCGGGGAGCCGTCTATCTTCAATCCAGAATGCGCGAGCACGGGCTAGCGCATTGCGCTGATAGCGACTTGTGCGTTGAGGGTTCCCTTCACTCCAGAAGCCATCACTGCAGGATGCAGGACGCGCTAGCTCGTGTGCTCGTAGCCCTTGCGCTAAACACATCCTAGCACTAAGGATGTTGACCTACAAAGAACTCAAGACACAGGAGATTAAGGGAAAACAAAGGGAGCATCACAAAGAAAAATATTTACATACACTATGTGCATACGTGTGTGCAATAAAATAGAAAAAGTTGAGAAAGACGAAACCGCTCCGTGGTTTCCAGAACCCGGAGCCCTTGCCCACAGACTGGTACTCAAATGCCGACGATCACGCAGAAGCGCGAACCCTCTCAGCGCAGTGGGCTGCAGCTGACTGCCAGACTGATGACGGAACAACTGGACACTCTACCGCGTCCGTAGAGCTGTCAAGACTCGCCTAAAGCCGGCAGAACATGCGGAGAACAAGCTCGTTCTTGGCGCCTGTCTTCGTGCCTGGAGAGGCGTCGCTCAGAACCGCGCGCCGCTTGACACTTGCGCGCACTTCCCCTGGCGCAACACGCGCTGCGAACATCTTGAAGAGCCACTAGATTTGGGAGACGCGCTCGGCAATGCCATCTGTGATGCAAAAGTGGAGCTCATCAACGTGCGGCGCGACGCAGCTGCCAGCAACAAAGACATGGCGCTATCGCCAGCGAGTGTGACATTAGAGGCAAATATGCGCAGCAGGCGCAACGGGAAACGCAACACGCGCCTGCCCAGCCCCAACTCAGTGAGCCTCCAACCCCCTCGGGTACGGCACGCTCCTGACACCGCCATGACGTTTGCTTGTTTTTCTTGTGTTGGCGCGCGATGCCGCCAGACTCTGCCCAGGTTCCCTTGCAACGGCGTGGGGGCACTGTTGCGCCACTTTGGAAGGGCAAAGGCTCTCCCTTTCACATCGCCTGCTATTTGTCTGTCTTGCTCACCCCGACTGGCGCCAAGTTGTCGCAATCAACGTTGCAAAGCATGCAAGGCGTGCAACGAAGCTTGCTCTCTCTCTCTCTCTCTCTCTCTCTCTCTCTCTCTGCGCCAGGCAGCTTTGGGGGGGCAACGTCACCAGCAGACATCCTTTGCCACTCACTTTGCTCGCTCTTTTCTTGCACTGCCAAAGGCCAAACCAACACTGCTGTCCTGTTTGTTGACATCCGCGCCGCCTGCCACTCCTTAGTTAGACAAACAGATGTCGGAACCTCAAGCCCGTGCACGAGCCTTGAAAAGCTCAACGCAAAGTTGCGTCTTTCTGCAGAAGGCATAGAGGCACTGCGGGCATTTTGTAATTAGGCCTGAGGAGCAGCCTCCGTCAGCTCAGACTGGACTCAGTGCACCTGGCTCCACTTCAGCGGGTGGCCCGTGTACACAGGGAGCCGGCCAGGTCAACCAGTGCTTCAATCTCGCTGTCTTTGACATCCTGCGGGATATTTGGGTTCACACGCTTTCGCAAGGCCTGGTGATGATGAACGCTCTCCTGTTGCCGTTGCTCGGCATCGCGCGTAGGCACTTTCAGCGAAAAGGCCTTGTTGTGAACTCGGCCTAGCTAAGACTGATGCCGTCGTTTTCTTCTCCGGACGAGGTGCAAATACAGCCACAGCCAACCTGCATTCTCACAATGGCTAACCGTGCGAGCCAACGCAGCTTTGGTGGCCACCCTATGCCCTTGTCCATTGTAGCGCAGCATAAGCATTTGGAGCCTCGCGCGTGGAACTGGCGAGCATGGACCAGATTTCTGCGCCGAGTCGCTGCTGCAAGTCCAACCCAAACACGCAGCCCGAGCGCCAAGTTCTAGAGGCTTGTGTTGTCGCAAATCTGTCTGTGGCTAGCCGCCTTCCAGGCCGTCTAAGAACAATACTCCTGGCACCAGCTCTTTTGCCCCTGGCTAAGCGACGCCTTGCAAAACGCGATGATTTCTGACCGGAAGTGGCGCAACCGCTTTGCAGTCTGCCTTTCCGTTGCCCTGCCACCTTTGCTACAAAAGCTGCGGTCTGTGTGCGCAGGTACCAAAAAAACGACGCCCGGTCCAAGATTCAGTCTTACTGTCACGCTTTTGCGCGCCCTGTTTGTCTGACTGGTTGCTTTCACTACCGGCGCCCACTGTCGCAAATGTTTCGTTACAGCCCTGGACGCTTGCGCTGGGATGTATTGAGCATGTTGCCCGCGCCAGACCCTTACCCTTTTTCTGAGGAAGCCTGAAGCCCTTGCCTGGTTTAAGGGTCATACGCATGTGCCCAGTGTGACAGTTGCCGGCCCTTGTCTGCAATCCATTGCCGAGCGAGTTGATGAGGACTGCGTGACAATACCGGCTTCGACGGCGTTTGCATGAGTCTGCGAAGGCTTGCGTTGCCAATCTGATGCGTTGGCAACAAAGCTCCGACGGCGTCAGACCCCTGGACTGCCCTCTGCCCTGCAACTTTGTCCTGTCCTTGTGATTGCACTACATTCCGTGCACTCGTCGTCTCTCCATCACCAATGCGATCGGTGCTTGGGATGACACCCAGCAGGACGGCATTGCGCGTGCTTGGCTTCACGAGGCCGCCACTTCAGGCACTCGCACGCCGGCCCAGTGAAAGATTTTCGGCCAGTGATTAACGCTAGCCCATTTCAGTTGCCTGCCTTTGTCGCCTTTTTCCGGAGGCTCAACGATTTTGAAGCCTGCTGAAATCTCGGCCACTACACGTGCATCTTCAGGCGGGGCGTTGCTTGTTGGCATGCAGATGGCAACCGAACACCCACTTGGCTGCGCGCCCCGGTTGCACCACATGACGCATACCTGGTTGCTCAGCACATTTGACCGGCGTGGGGTCACGCGGCCACGGGAGTGGAAAAGAGGCTGCGCTGAGCTGCTACAGTCTTGCGCGCCTACTTGTCAGGGAGAATCTGCTTCCCGTCGAGCCCTCTCACGCGCAGGCAGAGCCTACGCAAACAGGCCAGCAAGCCTCTCGTAGAAAACATAGCAATACGCCAAGCTGCAGTGAGCACTTTTTTGCTAAGCTAAGCAATCCCACGATGGAGCTTTCCCAGTTTCTGAGAGCTGCGCCTTCGACCTGCGCGTGCTCCGTGTTGACACTGCGGCTGGCGACAGTGCAGCTTGCGTGACCCAGCGGCTGCGCTTCGGCGCGTTGACTTTGCAATGGTTGGCCGCTTCATTGGAGCACGCGCTCCTTTTGGAACTTAGTGTGGCGTTCAGGAGCGCAACTTTGAAGAAAGCTCAGCGCTTGGCCAACGCTGCCAACCAAAGTTGGGGCTTGCCTGACAGAACGCTTCTGAAGCTACCCTGATTTTGCTCGTGACTCAGCTTGCGGGCGGAGTTGTTGCCCTCGCACACCCGTGAGCCCACGCAACTTGAACTACCTGCGGTCCGGAAGTTGCCTCAAGTTAGGTGGTGGGCCAGACTTGCAGATACCCAGCTGTGTCTCTCGAATGCCTGTTTGACACCGCCTTGCACCTCTTGAGCCAAAGTATGCCTCCAGCTTGCCGCCGCCACCAGCAAAAAACATCAAAGGCTTCCCAGCCGCCCTTAACCAAGGCTTTGAAGCGAAACAAGCTTTGGGTTTTCGGGGGCCGCCAGACAGCGACTTTGAGAGGGCCTCCAGTCTCCGCCAAAAACAGCACGGCGATTCGCCATGGAACCCAGAAAGAAAAGGAAAGGAAAGGAGGGAGGGGAATGCGCGTGCCTCCGTGCTCAATTCCCTTGCCTCCACACCCCCAAGTTCCTGCGGCCGCAACCTGGCCGCAGCCTTGTTGCTCCGGGAATCAAACTCAGTCCAGCGAGATCGCGGACCAGCCACCAGCTTTAGCCCGAGCCCATCTCTGAGCCCTTGCGGCCTCTTTCCACAGTTTTCCCCCAACCCCTGCTCAAGTCCGCGTTGTTCTGCCGAGGAGCTTTCCCAGGGACATGCCATCTGCGCAGAAATAGTTCAACTGTTGCGGCCCCCATCACGGAGGTCGCGCAGCTATTTTCGCACAACAAGACATTCTCAAATTTAGAAACCCTGTGAACATTCATATCAACGCAAAGTCCAAAACCAGCTACCGTCCAAATGCCCACCAAGAGCTAGGGCTCGTACAATGGCGGCGCAGCCGTAGTCATCATCTTGTAAAACTCATCAAATGTTACCTGCGCATAAAGGGGACAGCAAATCCAGCAGCGAGCCAAAAAGTCTACCATCTGCACTTGTCAGGCCTTTGGACGCACACCTGTCTCATCTAGACCCCTACGCGTCAAGTTGGTTCATGTTGGCACAACATTTCAAAAGTCATGGGGAGAGGAGAGCTGGGCCAGCTGACGCAAGCTGCACATCGGCGCATTGAAATTGAACTTAGCTGCAAGGCCTGCCCGTCTCCATCGGAGTCGCACATGCGAATCATCTCGTCAATCTCCTCGCAAAGACTGATGAGCTGTCACCGGGCCAGCTTGCCAAGCTCAATTGCTCTTGCAGAATTGTCCTGCGTTCCTCCCCCAGGGTTTCAAAACCTGCGCCGCACCACACACTGAGGCAAACAAGGAAATGATTCTTAATCACCCCCTGCAAATTTGAGCCACCAACTTTTCGCCTATCAGCCTGCAGTTGCGCATGAATGATAGTAGCCGGAGTAGTAGTAGTAGTAGTAGTAGTAGTAGTAGTAGTAGTAGTAGTAGTAGTAGTAGTAGTATAGTAGTAGTAGTAGTAGTAGTAGTAGTAGTAGTAGTAGTAGCAGTAGTAGTAGTAGTAGTAGTAGTAGAAGTAGAAGACCTTTCGCATCGCGCGCGTGAGCAACGGACAAACGACATGTTTGCCAAAGAAGCGCGTGAAAGCTGGGAGGGGTTCTCCCCTGGTGTTTTTGCACGCCAGTCTATTCTCAGTGACTCCCAAGCAAGCAAGCCAGCCAGCCAGCCAGCAAGATAGCCAGCCAGCAAGCAAGCCAGCAAGCAAGCCAGCAAGGCAGCCAAAGCAAGCAAGCAAACCAACAAAACAAGCCAACAAACACAAGCTACCGACCAGAAGTAGCTGGCTCTGAACAAGACCAACCAGTTATCTAGCCGGCCGTCTGATCAGAACTAGCTCAATGGCTAGGTGCGAGCGAGCCTAAGCTGCATTGTGGATAGACCCTGTGTTGAAAATTGTTTGTGTGGATTTGCTCTTGCTGTCCCGCTTCTTTGGCGTTCAGCTGTTTACAAAGCCTTTTTTGAAGCTCCAGCTTGGGATCTAGGTTTGGGGCTTCTTGAGTCTCGTGGCGCCGGCGTGTTGGTTTGTTGGTTTGTTTGTTTGTTTGTTTGCCCGGCTTCATGCTTTCCCAGAAGCGTTTCCGGAAGTGTTCTGGGCCAGGCTGCAACAAACGCCCAGGAGCTTTTAAAAAAACCCACGCGTGGCAACAAATGATGAACAAACAAGCCTGCTGCAGCGCCAACTGAAAGTCATTGTAACTGGCTGAATGCCAAAGAAGCGGGACAGCAACTCTTAAAACAGGGTCTATCCACAATGCAGTAAGAATGACCATGTCACGACAACCACAACTGAATTTCAGAGCGAGCAAGAAAGCATCCTTTGACCAAATTATAGCGGAGGCAGGAGTGGGCACTACGGGCAAGCTCGGTTGTTCAACTCGCAGCAGGGAAGCCCTGGTCATTTGGGCATTGTGATGATGATTAATGTATTACCTTGGACACTGCACGCGCAATGCCTTGACAAGTCATAACTTACATAGATTGAAATACCGACCCTTTGTCTCATAAGGTCTGTCGCAAAGCACCCCGTGCTGCTGATTCATAACCTTTGTCAGAACGAAACTAAAATGACTAAAATGAGCCCCTGCCCAGAAAGCGTGCGACGCATTGACAGCCAGCGGCCAGTGTCTCCTGATGCGAGACATCCTCGCCAATGAGCTTCAGGATGTGAGAAATCCTGAAGCAAATGGACGCAGTAAAAAAAGAGCCATCCCCCGTCATGTTCCCCGTGTCCACTCAAAACATTTGCCGTTGGTCTTTGCCTCTCACTACACCCCTGTGCGCGCGCTCCGCATCCCAGACACATTCCCCATTTCTCGGGCTCCCGGGCTCGGCAGCACCCACGAAGCGGTTGTTGTCCAGGTCGAAGGTGGCAAAGGCCTCTCAGAAAAGGAGACAAGGAACCAAAGGAGCCAAAAGTTGCAAAAGTTGCAAAAGCAAGCGAGTGGCATAATTTTTGCGTTGTCTGGAACCTGTGGCCTGGGCGCTTGATTTGAGACAAATAAAGCATGCTGGATTCAACTTGGATAGAAATCGGTGTTGGAGATTGTGCGTGTTTGTTGTTGGCCAAGCTAAGGACATTGGTCACGATCAGCACGTGTTTGGCTGGGTGGGCCCAAGGCAAGATAAAACAAAACAACAACTCCAGAGACTCAGCAAATCTTACGCCGGCAGCTCACCACACACATGGTGTTTGCAAGCGCCCGCTACTGTAACTCGGCCTTTCTTCCAAGATGCACTTTCATGCGGGGCTCGAGCCGTGCGCATCTAATTTGGCTCAGCACCGCAGCTTCGCACGCGCCTCCTTGATCTCGTCGTCTGTAAACGGCCTGTGCTCCAGGCCTCGTCTATGATTGCTTCAAGCGTTGGCAGTTACACACCAATGCCACCGTGACCCGTTTCATCCAGAGCTGTCGCATGCAAGACCACTGTTCGCGCAACAGTCTTGGCTTCAGAGGCCCAATTGTCCAAGAGTCTTCTAGAAAGACACCCTGCGTCGTAATGAGACGCGCCTTTTCTCCTACCAGTAAACGCCGGAAACATGAGCGCGGCGCCACAGCGAGAGCGCACTGCCCGCGCCAACACACATTTCGCGCGAGCCTAACCTTCGATGTAACCCAGCATTAACTTTTCCGTAAGAACGTAAGAACCCGTTAGTGTAAACACTATTTGATGAATAAACACTTATCCCGGAAAGGAGCCCCAAATAGTTCTCTCCCGCCGGATGAGAAACACATCGTAAACATGTCATGGCAATGACCGTGCTCAAGCGTAGCTTCTTCCAGTTCTGGGGAGCAAGTTTAGCATCATGCTTCGCAATCTCACCTGTCAACTTCTTGTGCGCGCGATGCTGTGGCTTGATGCTGCGTGCGAAGCTGTGCGGAACTGCATTTTGCACGCTACTTTTGCGCTTACGAGTTGTGGTTTTCGTGCTTGCAGATACGGATGTGTACTTCGCGTGCTGCTTTTTCCACTTTAAAGTTGCGACTCTTTGGAGCGTGGAGATGCGAGGGCGCACTTTGCGCACAATACTTTCAAGCTCGAACGCTTTGATTTCCGAGCTGGAGCTGCGGGAGCGCGCTTCGTGCGCTACCTTTGCGCGTAGCCACTTACGATTTTGCCGCCGGAGCTGCGGGGACGCACTATGCGTACAACTTTCCAAGAGAGGCTAAAAGACTCTGATTTTCACCGGGCTGCTTTGAATGTTCTAACGACTGCTGGTTTCGTGATATTTGCGACCGGCGGGCGGGCCGCATTTGCATCGCGATGTCCCAGAGAAAAGCAGTTCAGGGCAGCTTTCCCCCTTGGCATGCGCCGGCTTCAACGTGTGAACACATGGCTCAAGACGCATTGGGTAAAAGGTCCGTTGCAACTCAAGACACATCCAGGTGCGCAAACAGTCAATGTGAGCTCACCGTTAGCATGTGCGATCTGCCAAGAGGGATTCTGAGGCATTCCCCTATGTGTGCCAAAGGTTTGAGAACACATAACTGACCGTGCTCGCTTGCGCAGCGAGCATAGCGGGGGAACTCACAGGGCCCAAAACAAGAAGGGGTAAGTGTTCGAAGTTTGTTTTGTTGCGCCGGGCTTGCCCAAGAAGACGTCAGTCCTTGTCACAGGACCATTGCGGGAAAACACTTTCTGAACGGATCTACGAAGCCCCTAATATATGACGCATCTTTGTCTGCGCTTGTGGGAGGCATTCTGCTAGGGAACAGTATGGACAACCCTGGACATTCAGTTGATCATGCTATTGGGCCGCGATTCGTCTCTTGACCTTGAAAAAGGGATTTTCAATGCCTTTGGGCCTGACGAGTTTCGCGCTTGCGGAATTCCACGTCCACTTGTGGAATTGCGCGGCCGCATTTCACGGAATCCCAGTTTCGAATCCATTTAGTGGTTCACGGCCAAAAGAAGTCCTGACAAAACTCCACGCAGATTCAGACTTGCAAGGGCCTACGCGCGTGTCCTGGACACGCGCGAACACTCGCGCCGCCGTTCCGCGTTCAGGAACGATGTTCTTGGCGAGATTACCTGCAGTCAATGGGGCCACGTCCCTCCACTAAAGCTCGGAAAAGAAGCCAAACATAAAGAAAGCCGGGGTGCTCCTGGAAATCAATTTCCACTTCTTCGGGATGCCCACAAGCACACCCTTACTCATCAGTGGCTTGCAGCGATAGTCCGAGGCGCGCTTCACAAATTGCTGGCGGCAAGTTCACGTGACTCTTGTGCCTCAAGCTCTCAGGTTTCAGTCACTAAAATAATTTTGGGGAAGAGACCGTAGGTGAACAGATCGTAAGGCCTACGGGAAAAAACCAACAGAAACCGACAGAAACCGACAAAAACCGACAGAATTTGAAAAACAACAATTCAATTTCTACCAGCTACGGCACCCAATTATGCACTACCAGTAATACCTTTGAATATTGAAGATTAACAGCCAGTGACCAACAAACAATGTAACAAGAACAAGGAACAAACTAACAAGAAACAAAACACACACACAACACGGGCAACAATGCACTACTACTACTACTACTACTACTACTACTACTACTACTACTACTACTACTACTACTACTACTACTACTACTACTACTACTACTAAACTACTACTACTACTACTGCCACTGCTACTACTACTACTACTACTACTAAACTACTAAAATACTACTACTACTACTACTACTAGTACTATACTACTACTACTACTACTACTACTACTACTACTACTACTACTACACTACTACACTACTACTACTACTACTACTACTACTACTACTACTACTACTACTACTACTACTACTTACTACTACTACTACTACTACTACTATACTACATTGTTACATGAACATAGTGACCATATGAATGTAATGAAAATCGCATTCCTAATAAGTATAACTGGCTACGTCAAGACATTGGCCTCAAGGGCATTAGGTATCTTGGAAGCATCACAGCGCCTGCAAACGGTCAACCTGCAATCAATGATCGATCGGCCACCAAGGCAATCAGACTATGAGGGTAGGCGCCAGTCACTATCAAAGACTGTTCAGGAATATTTCTCTTCGTAATCTCTTATCTTCTCATAATATTTTCACACATTTTGGATTTTTTGATGTTGGATGCATCTTTTTAATATCCTATCTTTTACTATTCGAGAAACTCATTTCACTTGCAGTGAGCGGGCCCTTTTTGTCACGCGGCTCATTCATATTGAGTCGGCTGGCAATGAGTTTGCAAAAAATGATAGGGCATAGCTCCCCGGCAAAACACACATGGCGCTCAGCCCTGATTCAGTTGTGTGTTGTGGGGCACGGTGGGAAACCAGTGGTCCTATTGATTCCACTGTTACTGTTTTGACTTCCGCTCCAGTAGCTGCTCCATTCCCACGCCTGGCGGAGGCTCGCCTCGCCCGACGTGACAATGATGACGCACGCAGGGCCCCAGTCACTGGGGCCCGCCTCTGCAACCGCCACGGTGGCCACGCATGGAGCTTTGGCGCTGCTGTGCCTTCGGCTTGCGCGTCGGGAATGTGGAAAACCAATAAGTTTGCTTGATCAGGGACAGAGGCGGCCAGCATCTCAGCTAGCTCCCATAGCTCGTCTTCCGTCACATCTGCTGGGACCCGGCCATGCATTGACATTGCTTGTAGCTGGCGCAGGAGGAGATGCGAGAATGAGAGCTGAACTCCTGAGTGCACCACCTGAGACCTGTTCGCGTGTCTGTAGACTAGCTTGTCTGCGAGCCACAACAGCCATCCAAAGGCAAAGGTGTTATATACACATGCAAGCCCTAAAAACCCCTAAGCCCTACACACAGTTCAAACAAATGGCGTTGACATGCCAAAAATGTCGTGTCATGAGAGTCATGAGTGAACTTCGCCCTCGCAGGTCACAAGCAACCACTTGCAAAAGCCTGATTATCTGCTTGCACTGTTTCTTATCTATCTCTGCGCAGAACACACTGCGCCTTGTTTTTGCGCCGAGATTCATTGCGTGGTCGTGCAGCTGATGCGCACGATGGCATCGTGCGCATCACTGTCTGTTGCACGACCAGACATGAACGTGTTAAGTGGCTGGACCACTTTACGGACCAAGGCGGGCCCCATGACTTGATTCAAGTTGTTCGTGGGCAATGGCATGACAATTGATTCATCGTGCAACTGACGCACACGATGTTTGACCATTTGACGCGCTGCTTAAGAAACAGCTCCTCCCTCGTAACACGTCAAACATTGTGTCACGCTTGCTGTGTCAGTTGGCTGTCAGGACAGGACCTGGTCACGAGCACAGATGTGACAGCATCCAGAGGCGAAGAGCAGCCCTCTTCGCCTCTCAACGCTGTCACATCTGTGCTCTGTGTGCCGTTTTGTTGCTTGCTCTCAGGAGGTCAACCCTTCCGCTTCCCTTCGACTGACGCACACGATGTTGTACGCTGCGAGGCACGGGTTATTCCGGACAGAAAGAGCCCATGTCTCGACAAACGTTGTGTCGCCCCCCGTCATAAAAATTATTGATGAGCTGAGGACTCCGACCACTTGGCGCCAGTCACATTTCGGACCAGGCATGGCCACGAATCTCTGAGTCTATTGAAAGTTGAAAGCAATGCCATGGAGCCTCGGATGTCATTGCTTGTGTCACGGATGCGGTGGCTCAAAGCGAGATGCTTGGCCACCACATCCGTCGGTGACGTGGAAATAAAAACAGTTTCCTCTCTCCACCGCACGCACAGGGAAGAGCAGGACATGGTTTACTCACGTGCTCCTCGACCCAGTGTGTGAGACTGCAAAACTTAAAACCAGACAAGTCATTATTCCAAGCCACACGCCCCCAAGTCAAATACGCTGCGTTGCAACAAAAGCAGGTCATGCAACTGACAGCCTTTCTGAACGCTTGAGGTGCTGAGCAAGGAGCTTTGGCTCCTCCCTCAGCACCTGCACTGAATCAGCCCTCCAGATATATGTTCGCCGAAAGTTTTACGTCAGAACCAAGCCCTGATGACATCATGACATCTGTTTCTGAGGTGGGCCCAAGTTACAAGTAGTAAGTCGGGCCACGCAAGAAACAGATGCCTGATGTCGTGCTGAACTGGACCAACTTGGGATTCTGAACCGAAGCGCGTCTTGTCGTCAAGTCGGGTTTGAGAGAAATGTCGTTACGGCCGGAGCTGTAATAATTTCGATCTCCACGACAGGTCGCACTGACCCAGCCGTGAGAGACTGCAACCCAGACACACTGTGTCACACAGCGCTGAGCTGGCACCCAGTCAGGGACAGTGACACAGTCAGTCACAGTACAGTCACAGACAGTCAAATCCATTGAAACCATGATGAGTCAATCTGA